ATCAGGATCAAAAATATTGTAAAATGTAAATTAAATGAATAATAAAGACTTTAGGTGTATCTGATTCAATTTTTCATTCTTTTTGTATGAAACTGTGTGCCCTGTTTTCTTTTAGCTTGTATATAGTGACTTTTATCCAAACAATTTCAATAAAAAACTTTTTGTGTAACATGTTGTAGATATTTTATGATAAATAAAATATTTGTAGGCTTGATTAGCAATGCTTCTTTTCATTATTTCATTGTTGTAATAGTTTTGAACAATGCCACACACTCCAAAAATGTGAAAGTGTAAGAATTGACAAAAAATCAATAATTCGGTATTTTTTACAAAAAAATACCCAATTTATCGGAATGCTTAGATTTTCATAAAATCATCTCTACATAGTGACATAACCATTATGTAAAACTTTCATTGAGTTCTGCTGGTTAATTGCAAAAAGGTGGAGCCTCCTTAAGTGGTACATTTAAAAAATAAAATACAAATCATTACTTTCTCATTTTTCTACAACAGTGCTTGTATAACAGACACACTACCTGAACATAATCCGGGTCATTTATGAGTTTGTATCCAATATATACATATCATTATTAGGAGAGGAAAGTGTTACGACGGAAAGGAAGGATAAGTAAAATGTTTTGTCGTTTTCACCGACAATAGCGCTCCTAAAAGACACTTTATATTACATTGTACACGTGATAAAATACACTATAACACGTAGAGTCACATACCATATTTACAACAAATATTCACGGATATGTGTGCTTCCCATCGCTCATTACATTATTAACGTTTCAAAAGGTATTCGTTTGATTTAGTTTATTTTGTTTGTGTTTTACGTCCTATTAACGGCTATGGTCATTTAACGGACGAGTCAGGATTTTTTTGTTTGTGGAGGAAAACCTGAGTTCCCGAAGAAAACCCACAGACCTGCGGAAAGTACTTAGCGACTGCCCACGTAGGTCTCGAACCCGCGACCCAGTTGTGGAGGGCTAGTGGTAGCAGAATATCAGACGCCTTAACCTCTTGGCCACTGCGGCCACACTCATTAGTGGAAATAATAAGTAATTAACCACACACGTAGGTCTCGAACCCGCAATCCAGACGGTCAATAGGTATGCACGGAGTTTTCATCCAGAAAAAAATATGTATTTCTCATGGGATGAAAAACACACTTACAATAATGTATGCCAATAACCATTTTGATATGTGCAACCTATTTGTTTTAGATAATAACACATTATGAATAAATAAATGAATATAGATATTGAAAAAAAACCATATAATATCAGTAAAATGATGTCTTTATTCTTATGTTAGGGAATGGGTTGTTATTTTTTATCTTGTGAGGTAATCACGATTACAGTGACTTTGTATTTTTTTAATATCAAGTCACAGTTACGAGGTACTTGGGTCGTTTTACGATTCAGGAAGAGTTCAGTGAAGAAGAGATCGGGAGCAGTCCAGAACTCACCCATTCACCTGATTGGTGGAATATTCAGAAAAGTAAACAGAATTCGGTTTCAGGAAGAACATTTTGATTGCTGAATTTAAGTAAAAAAAATCCAAATGCAAATACTGAAACTAATCTTACAAAGGAGCCTTTATAGACATGCATGTGAATTAAAAGTTCAAACTAACGTTGAATGGAGCAGAAAACTCCTAAAACCACATGAGAGCAAACATACTTAAAACGATTGCAGAGCGCGATACGTTATAACTGACACAATACCTGGATCTGTGGGTACGCTATTGGCTTTGTCAGCCCACACTGATAACACTACTTAAAATACAGAAACGATTACGTCAGATGCATTAAACAAATCGACAATTATCGTGATCACTTCTATACTTCCTGATCCCCGTTAGAAAAAGTGCATTACATCATCCTTTAGCAATAAACGCAATCTAATAAAAATCACATGTTACATGGCTTCGTTAACTTCGTACTATGCCTGAACATCTTAATATGCCGCGGTCAGGGTCACGTTCAAGTGACCTTTAGATGAACCAATCAGAGGCGCGCTGGCAAAAGTTTGCCAGCGAATCGGAATATCATGGTTGATCATGGTTGATAGATAAATAGGGAGGGGAATCGAACAGATTAGGTTTCCAAAACAAATATGGCGGCGGGAACTGACGTTTCTACGACGCCAAGTAAAACGTACCCATTGGGAAATCATTGCGTAGGCAACACCACCATACAGTCTTTCTTCTCTAAGAAAGTTTCTTTTTCTGTTCGGGTTTCAGACTATCAATCTCAAATAACTTCAGAACTTTCGCATCATTCTCATCAATGTCCGCCATATTTGTTACAACACTGAGCGCCCTTTTGAAAGAGGGTCTCTGATTGGTCAAAATTTAATGAGTATTTATAAATATAAAGGTCACCTGAACGTGACCCTGACCGCGGCACATGAACACTCAGACGATTATAATCAGATTGCAATAAACGGAGACGTGAAGTTGTACTGCTATTACTCTTTAAATCTTTACTGGAGTAGCAATCGAGACAATAACAAATTATAACACTGAAATACTGCGCAAGCCTTATTGAAGGAATGCCATTTGTTTTTTCAACATTCATGACGTCATTACAACGATGGCTTTTTGGACATATTCCTTGAATCGCGTTATTAACCCGTCCTACCTCTTACGCAGAAATATTAAGATCATGGTCATCTGCTTTATGTAATTCCAATTCAAGCTCTCAAGCGTACTCATAGGTCCTCTGGGACCGGGGGTAAATTATTTTATACTGATTACAAAATATATGAAAATATCGGGTCATTGTCACTGACACTGCATTTTCATTGGTGGTTTTGGGTTTGTTTGTGTTTTACGTCCCATTAACAACTATGGTCATTTAAGTACATGCCAGGTTTTGGTCAATCTGATTAAAATCACATGTTACATGGTTTCGTTAACTTCGTACTACGCCTGAACATCTGAGTGTGCCGCGGTCAGGGTCACGTTCAGGTGACCTTTATATTTATAAATACTCATTAAATTTTGACCAATCAGAGACCCTCTTTCAAAAGGGCGCTCGGAGATGTAACAAATATGTCGGACATTAATGAGAAAGATGCGAAAGTTCTGAAGTTATTTGAGATCGTCTGAAACCCGAACAGAATAAAAATCGAAGCTTTATTAGAGAAGAAAGATTGTATGGTGGTGTTGCCTTCGCAATTATTACCCAATGGGTACGTTTTCGTAGAAACGTCAGTTCCCGCCGCCATATCGGTTTTGGAAACCTTATCTGTTCGATACCCCTCGCTATTTATATATCAACCATGATATTCCGATTCGCTGGCAAACTTTTGCCAGCGCGCCTCTGATTGGTTCATCTAAAGGTCACATGAACGTGACCCTGACCGCGGCACATTCAGATGTTCAGGCGGAGCCATGTAACAGAAGATTTTAATCAGATTGGGTTTTTGTGGTTGAGGAAAGCCGGAGTTCTCAGAGAAAAAAACACCGACCTACGGCCAGTACCTGGCGACTGCTCCACGTAAGTCTCGAACCCGTGACCCAGTGGTGGAGGGCTAGTGGTAGCAGACTGTCAGACGCCTTAACCAACTGCCACCGTGACCCAGTGGTGGAGGGCTAGTGGTAGCAGACTGTCAGACGCCTTAACCAACTGGCCACCGCGACCCAATGGTGGAGGCCTAGTGGTAGCAGACTGTCAGACGCCTTAACCAACTGGCCACCGGGACACAGTGGTGGAGGGCTAGTGGTAGCAGAATGTCAGACGCCTTAACCTCTTAGCCACCGCGGCCCAGTGGTGGGGGCTAGTGGTAGCAGAATGTCAGACGCCTTAACCTCTTAGCCACCGCGGCCCAGTGGTGGGGGCTAGTGGTAGCAGAATGTCAGACGCCTTAACCAACTGGCCACCGGGACACAGTGGTGGAGGGCTAGTGGTAGCAGAATGTCAGACGCCTTAAACAATTGGCCACCGCGACCCAGTGGTGGGGGCTGGTGGTAGCAGAATGTCAGACGCCTTAACCACTTAGCCACAGCGACCCAGTGGTGGGGGCTAGTGGTAGCAGACTGTCAGACGCCTTAACAAACTGGCCACCGCGACCCAGTGGTGGAGGGCTAGTGGTAGCAGCCTGTCAGACGCCTTAACCAACTGGCCACCGGGACACAGTGGTGGAGGGCTAGTGGTAGCAGAATGTCAGACGCCTTAAACAATTGGCCACCGCGACCCAGTGGTGGGGGCTAGTGGTAACAGACTGTCAGACGCCTTAACCAACTGGCGACCGCGACCCAGTGGTGGAGGGCTAGTGGTAGCAGAATGTCAGACGCCTTAACCAACTGGCCACCGCGACACAGTGGTGGAGGCCTAGTGGTAGCAGAATGTCAGACGCCTTAACCAATTGGCCACCGCGCCCCAGTGGTGGGGGCTAGTGGTAGCAGAATGTCAGACCCCTTAACCACTTAGCCACCGCGACCCAGTGGTGGGGGCTAGTGGGAGCAGAATGTCAGACGCCTTAACCACTTAGCCACCGCGACCCAGTGTTGGGGGCCAGTGGTAGCAGAATATCAGACGCCTTAACCACTTAGCCACCGCGACCCAGTGGTGGAGGGGTAGTGGTAGCAGAATGTCAGACGCCTTAACCAACTGGCCACCGCGACACAGTGGTGGAGGCCTAGTGGTAGCAGAATGTCAGACGCCTTAACCACTTGGCCACCGCGACCCAGTGGTGGGGGCTAGTGGTAGCAGAATGTCAGACCCCTTAACCACTTAGCCACCGCGACCCAGTGGTGGGGGCTAGTGGTAGCAGAATGTCAGACGCCTTAACTACTTGGCCACCGCGGTCCCACTCATTAGTGGAAATGATCCAGATTAGAGTTAGTAATCAGCATACATTAATTAATGGATTTTATACACTTTTCATGATTTTTCATATTGATACGCCACACTTAATTATAATGTGTTTCAGACATAGAATTTATATTATTAACTATTCGTAATAATATAATTAGGAAGAGCTTACCTTCCGGATTTGAAAGGCTTCCTTGAATTCCTTCAGAGTAATGTGACCCTTATTTCCAGAAATCTTTTTGAAGTGCAAAGTGATCCATTCGTACCATATGACGTCATCCTTGCTAAAAAACAAAAACATTTATGATATGATTTCATAAATCTCGTGAAATGTTGTGGTATATTTATGTTAGATTTGTTGTAATATACAATATAACACGGGCTGTACGACCTTGAGTTATTAACTTGTATATCATTTTTACCGTTAAATTCTAAGGTTTTATTAGTGGATTTTTCACATTATATCGACTTATCGGGGACCAGGGATAAGTGCGAAAAATAAACAAATTGAATGAATAGGTGTGATGGTAAAATAGGAAACAAAAGATCGTAAGAAGTAAAAAGAAATATAAAGATCTCAACTATTGGTATATGTTACTACACGACTTTGTTATCATCTCAAGCCTTGATATTATGTTATACAGGTATATACCTGACCTCTAGTGTTACACATATTTATGTATGTCCGAGTGAAATAAAATCTTGGGAATCTTGAAAAATAAGTAACAAATTTGAAGATAAATAGTCTACATGCAGCATCGTATTATATTTAAGAACGAGGAATAACGAGATTTCATTGATTGAATAGCGCGATACGAACTCGGCTAGTAAAACGGAATTTTGTAACCGTATAATGTACGAATTTACATAAAACTTTGCATTCCCTCTACTCTTATTTTAACAACGTTTTTTATTTTGTATCGACGGTGTATTAAGACGAAAAAAGGGCTTCTTATGACTCTCAAATCGTCAAAATTGTTCGACTGTTTAAATAGATCCAGAAATAATCATTCGCGTATATTTTTACAAATATTTTTCGATTAATATATAGAGGATCTTACATTCGCGTCCGTGGCATATTGAATTTATAAAACGAGTTTAATAAATTCAATATGGCATGGACAAGAATACAGGATTATAGTTATCACGTAACACTCATAATTTGAAGAAAAAAAAATCAAACACAATTGTGTGTTATTAGCCGACTCTAAATAGGTGAAAACCAAAGTACTCCGATCATATTATTGTCATTTCGCGCAGTGAAAATTCATTTAAAATAAAAAAATATATATATAATTAACTGTCTTCAATGTACTGAAAATTATAATGACAAAAAAAAATGAAATTCATTTAAAATAGCTGTAAATATGTCATGTTGTATGTAGTACATGTAGCGGCGTAGGAATTAATATGCTCCCACGATTTTGACCAATCGCAGCACATTTAGGTTTTACTACCCGTGTGTAATACCATATTTATGACATAGTACACATATTAGCCGAATGAGTTAATCAAATTATCCAACATATACACTGTACTTATATCAATCAACGGAGTATAAACAAAAGTAAACAATGTATAAAAATAACTCACTCGTCTGGAATACTCGAGTTCCGTTTGTACGGGAGGCCGCCATTGCTCTGTCCGTTGACCCCAGGTGGCAAGTTCGGACTGTCCACATTGATCGCCACTGGCTCTTCATTAATATGTACCCGGCAATCCCTGCCACCATTTTCCTGTATTCTCACGGTTTGGTTATCGTCCGGTGAACCATGTACCCGGCAATCCCTGCCACCATTTTCCTGTATTCTCACGGTTTGGTTATCTTCCGGTGAACCATTCGGAAGTCCTCTGTGGACATCATCATCGTCTAAATCTGTGATTTCGTGAGAAATGTTCACACTGACCGTGTCATTGACGTTGTTATTCACACAAGTAGTATGTGTACCGTTAGAAATTGTCCCTAAATCGTTTATCTCTGCCTCCTTTTTAGCCTCATCAATGCTATGACAACTAGCAGTGTCGTCATCATTTTTCATACGGTCGTCACTTTCGAAAGCGAGGTTCACCATACCTGTTTCGACCTTCGTGTCAGCTTCCATGTCAGCATTGATGGGTTTTCCTACCGAATCCATACCAAAGTTACTCTCAGTGGAATCCATCTTATCACGGGCTCAACTTTATTGTAACTTATCTCCTCTCTCTGGATTTCCTTGAAAGAAACAAAAGTAGTTTTTGTTCAAATAAAATGTTAAAAAACCGATACATACTGTTATACAATTTCTGGAAAGAACGTGAAACTCCATCAGAATCAAAGGTTGTTGTTTTATAAAGCTTTTAGGAATTAAATTTGAAAAAAAATAGATTTACTTTTTTATGATTTTTTTAAGAATGAAAACAAAAGAAAAAAAAGTGATATAAACTTCCAAGATCATATAAAGTGAAATAACTCGCTTGATGGAACACACCATCCGATAGCTTGTAGAATTGTTAAAAGATCCGTATTGGAACAAAATCCACATCTGCGCTCGGGAACAATTTCAATTAAAAGTTAACTTTATTTTAGATTTTTGAAACATAGTATGCCAATATTGCAATTATATAGTAAATTTTATCATGAAGAATGAAACATATTGTTGTCCATTTCCTGACTATGTATCAGGTAAATGATACGTACAAATATCCTCCGGTCTACAGGTATATTGACTCCAGGACAGTTATCAACCAATGTAAGTAAAATGCCTATTTACAGTAAATCAGGTGATACACATTGAAAAGAAGTTATCACGTGATTTGGTTTACTAGAAACTCGGGAGAGAATTGCCTTGATACGCGGAACACGTCACGGGGTCCCGTAGGCGGCTCTGTGAAGTATTGCGGAGTACGTGGGTGTTAAACACTCGGCCTATCACTGCTACCCTGGTGAGAAGGAACTAAATATCCGGGTTTAACTAAGACCTCTGACCTCTGACCTCTAATCACCACTCAGTCCCTGGTAATGGCTCAATCATTACAATAACCACCGCTCCTTGTGGTAAAAGCGATACAATCTGATACCGATCCGCCGTATTCGTTCGGAACTTAGAAAAAAAATAGACTGTCATCTCACAAATTAAATATTGAAATTGGTAGGTATAACAATGCAGAAAGAACATGTGCATACTGCAACAGTGGGGATATCGAAGATGAATTTCATTTTATATTAAAATTTGAATGTTTTTTAGATTTAAGAAATCGTTTTATAAATAAATATTACTATGAAAGACCTAGCATGTATACATTTATCCAACGTATGGAAACAGGGAACAAAAAACAAATGTAGTCAAATATATTAAACTGAGTAATAAACAAAAAAAAGACTATATACCTATATAAAGGGGGATGTCTCTACACTATAACAATGGATATGTGAGTGTGTATTTGTGAGTGTGTATTTGTGTGTGTGTGTGTGGGGGGGGNGCCGTAAGGTTCAAGGTAATAAAGAACTGAACTGAACTGTTCTGAGAGGCGCCGCCCCTTCTGTAGTTAATTAAGTACCATCAACGAACATGTGCAGTCCTTCATAAAATTCAGCGGAAGATTTTGAACATAAACTGTATATATCTATTACAATTTACATGTAATTGACTTCTTTCAATTGTTGAATTTAAAAAGTAATCGTCTATGTCTGCACTTGTTTAAACATGAAATATTTTGTTGATAGGAGATGGCTTTATACGTTACTTTAACTTACGCCGAATCCTTGTACCTATTTTGGACAATAAAATATGTTAAAAAGTCAACGAGGAAGATTTCGAAAGTGATAAAACCTGATACCGAAACATCCCCGGCAAGCCTGCTCATACGCCATTGTCCTTTAATTGCCGTAACCAAGCATCCATTATCTGGTAAACACTTCCGGGGTTTGTTATTGCCCATATTTACATCAATGGGATTGCTTATCGTGACGAAAACACTATTTTTCAATTATCAACGTCCCTTAGTACTACAATCGGAATCATTTTACATAGAAATATTTAATTATTCACGTTTAGTTTGCTCTTTGTTTATTTTGTTTTACATTTATTTACAAAAAAAATAAGTTTTGATAGAAAATTTTGCTATTGTTTATAATATAATAACATAATGTAATCATAAACAATGGCGCGCGAGCATGGACACGTTAACTGTTTTGTGTATTTATCTATTTCGGTATAACTAAATATGTTTTGGTCTTTCGTGGTCCTCGTAAAAACATTAAACATCTCAGGGAAACAGATATCATGTTTCCCTGCTAAAAGGGCATCATCATTACGGCGGGGTCAAAGGGGCGGGGTCAAAGGTCCTGACCCACATATTCTATGTTAAATCATTTTAAGGTTTAAGGGTAATATATCCTTTTAAACACATTAAAAAGCACTGCAAAGTGGAGTAGCATAGCGTAAGTAAATCACATTATATAAAATTTAAGCAGTTTTACAGATTGTCATCTCCCTGAATTTGAATTTAATTAAAATTGTTGAGTGTAATCTTCCTCATTTTTCAACAAGTGATGAAATCCGGAGAACGATTTCCCTAGCTACCAGAGCGCGGAGTGATGCGGTACAGGTGACTAAGAAAGATTTGATATTCAAGTTATTTTATTCTTGCAAACATGTTTACTTGATTGCCGTAAAAACAGAACACAGATTTCAAATAATAAGATGGATTTTTTAAATCAAAATAGATAGGAACTGCTTCGTAGTTCACAAATGCGTTTCTTAGTTCGGTAAATTTATCTAAGACCAACTCACTCGTCATTAAATCTTGTACTTGCTGAGTATTTTAGGGGTCGCATTTAACAGTCTTCATTTGGAAGACTTCGTTGTTATTTTATAAAGTTGGTATTTATCTGCTAACATTGTACATTGTTGAATATATTAATCTGTCAATCCCAACTCCGGGACATTAATCCGTAAATCTGTGTATGTGTTCCATTGTACTTTATTATGAGCCATGTGTGATGTAACTGTATAACCTATATGCTGTATTGCATTTGGTAAATAAAAAACTTGAACGTTGTGTAACGTCTTTTGGAGGCGTGGCTAACACATTTTCTATAATGGAATGACAAATAGGATTTTTATATTTGGTATAAAAATAAATCACAATTTCAGTCTAACACTACACACAACCTTCTACATGTAATATATACTGTGCTAACGGCAATGGGCCACTTATCACGTTATCTCGCACATTTTAGACATTTTGATGAGTTTAGCCTACAACCGATTACATATTGACAATTAAGCTGACAATGCTATTTACTCTATATTTGCAAAATTAGAGGAAAGCTGACAATACTTTAATTATCGTGCCTTTTGATTTCCATCAGGTGTTTTGTGCACAGTTGTACACAGATTACGTTTCATGACCCTGTTTTAATTCGGAACAACTCATCCTTATCAATATATTGTACCTATACTTTAGAAAGCTTCAGCGCAAACAAAGTGACAATCTATAGTTTTATTAACTCCGCAGTAAAACTGCCCCTGACTTGACCAATTTTATCAGTGACAGTGTTATATTACCATAAAAGGGTCGGCAACTATGAATATTATAGATGTCGTAGAAATTATTAAGTAGATTCCAAATGCACTTACTTTCGGTATTAAAACATAGATATGTGTGATTCATATGTATAAGCCAGGTTACATAGGACTAGTAGTTAGCGCCTGACAAGGCAGCTCATGGAAGTTTTGCATTGTCTACGTTAAGTACACATGTACCTAGAGTGGGTTAATCTAGAAGGAATGGACACCGTATCAAAGGATTATAGTCCAGAGAAAGCTTGGTCAGTTACATTTAACCTGTCGGACTACACTTCTCTTGTACGATCATTAGGTTGCGACCTATTTATACAGAGACTAGGTTATTACATGATCACTGAGTATTTACATATATCTTCCTTTCTGTAGACAGAAAGGGACATTTCAAAAAGCAGTGACATTCGTCACCGATGTCTTGTGTACCTCAATATGTACATGTAGCTGAGTATCTGTTTTCCTGTTTGTTGATGATCCCAGTTGTGTTCTGAATCCCCACACGGGTAGTTAGTTTTCAAATTAGAGCCTCGCGTTAACAGATATGTTGTCACCCGCAGTGACACCCACCCAGTAATGGAGTAGTCCTTTGTTGATAGGGAGGGTTAACACTTACGATATATTATTACGATGCACTTTCTTTCAAATCGTCGTCAACTCACAAATGCATTTAAAATCTAAGCATAAGCTACACTCCGGGTTATAGTCATAAAATTCTGATCGGGGTTGCAGACGAACGCGCCTTATACATATGTGTCTGCATCCTGCTCAGGATCACAGGGCTTTATCTATAAATAGAATTATGTTTAATACCGATATTCCTTTTTCTCATTGATTTTGAACAAAAAATGATATTCAAAACTATAAAGTAATATTTGTTCCTCAAATTTGAAGTAGATTTTCAATGAATGGAATGGCCTAAACTAGTTATGACCATCTATCTCCAACGTCATGATTATGACGTCACAAAGGCAATAACGTCAAGATCATCACTCAAGAGTTATTTAAGCATTGAACTGTTTTTGTATGGTATTTATGATCTATTTGAATGACACAGCTTTGCAAGCAAACAACGCGTATTATGAGTTGTTTGCTTGCAAAGCTGTGTCATTCAAATAGATCATAAATATCATACAAAAACAGTTCAATACTTATATTTACGTTTTCTCTGCCTCTTATGTTCTTTTTTAACTTATAATTTATAATTAAAAATAAAAATGCCCGCCTTATCGACAGTCCACACAATTTCGTTCAATAGTTTGAACAGCGTATTGTCGCGTGCTGATTGGCAAACAAAGTAGTACTTTGACATTTTAACAAACACTTCAAATTTATTCCACAATTTAGTATCAATACAATTGCGTATGATATGTCTATAGGGTGATTCCAGTTTTTCAATAGAAATCTGAGCTGAAAGTTAGATTTGAAATTGTTTCGATTTTCCCCCGGAACAAATTTCGCGCATGGATAAATACAGTGAACACCGTGAATGGGACCTTGACCTCCACGAGGGAGTTATTTTTGGAAGTTAATTCGAACTTTTCTCTTTGCTCATTTTGTGAAGAATCCAGGCGTGAATGTATTTGTTGATTGTATGGGAACCCGACAACAGTCGGTAGATTCTATAACAGCATCGTTATTTGACATGTCGTCTGAAACTGAGGAACCGTGGATCCGAGACGCGTGAAACTGATAGCGTTTGAAGTGAGTGATCTTGCGACGGAGCACAGGTTCGTTACAAATGTCTGAAATGACGAATGTTTATGTGTGCTGTGACTCATATCAGTAGGTCTGTAACATATGTGTCAGTAGGTCTATAGAATATGTGTATTTCAGACATTTATAACGAACCCCTGTTGATCAGTGCAGTGTAACAGACGATATTTCTGATAAATTGCATGAGCGTTAAAATTGTTTCCATTGCCGGCATTGGTGATTTCAACCGATGTGCATTTTGTACGATATTGCAGACCTTGGTCTTGTTTTCGTTGTAATAAAAGTGTTTTTTATTTTATTTTTTATTTTGCACATAAATTTACAATGACATTATCAAATCTCACAATGCCCAGCGATATTTCAGCAGCCGTCATGTTTATTTACATTGGATATTGTAGTTCCGGTCAGTGTTGTAATTAATACGCTAAGAATTGTGTCTCGTGCGGCATGGTAATTATGTCTCGTGCGGCATGGTAATTAAAGTCCCATCAACGACACAGCTCTCAAAGAGGCTATATAGTGACAATGCCATGCAAATGTAAATATTTAAGTAATGAATGGTATAGCAATTTTTTTTAGGGTCCTATAACACACATTGCATTGATGACTTTGAATAAAGCCCGTTATCAAATGTTGTTATAGTCTCGTTTGTTTGTTTGTTTGTTTGTTTGATTTTGTTTAACGTCCTATTAACAGCTAAGGTCATTTAAGGACGGCCTCCCCTGTGTGCAAGATGCATGCGTGTAGTGTATGTGTGTGTATTTTGGGATGCTTCGATATGTTCGTGTTTGTCTCCTTGTGATTGCGAGGAACTGATGCCGACTTTATAGTGCT